GTTCCAAAGATGCTTAATCCCCTGTAAGGAAAAAAAAATTCTGACAACACCTTATTTTTAAAGTGACCTCTTGTTCCAGACTCTCCCAGAAGAGGAAGCATATTTCCCCCATCAACACTGTTTAGACCGTTCAAAGGATTTTTATGTTTCAATCAAAAGCTCTTGCAGCAGACACAAGCCTGGCCTGTCCAATTTGTACTCTTAAGACAACTGCCCTTTTCAGATATTAATCTTCTCTGAACTGCTTCCAACACATTAACATCATTCCTTAAATAAGTTGATCAAAACTGTGCAAAGTACTCCAGCTGTGGTCTTACTATTGTCCCAATAACTGAAGCATAACCTCCTACTTCTGTATTCAATTTCACTTCCAATAACTGATAACATTCTATTCATTTTCCTAATTACTTGCTGTACCTGCATACTAACCCTTTACAATTCATTGGCTAGGACACCCAAATATCTCAATTTAGGTAATGTGCTTTGGCAGATTTGGCAGGAAGAATAAAAATACTTTCATATTCTCCCATCATGCTGCATTTGCCACATCTTTGGCCACTCACTCATGTTATCTACATACTTTTGTAACGACCTAATGTTCTCTTCACAGCTTGCTTTCCTACCTATCCGAGTCTCATCAGCACATTTTAGCAACTATATCTTTGGTTCCTTTCTTCAATCATTTGTATAAATTATGAATAGCTGAGGTTGCAGCACTGACACCACTCGTTATAACATACCAATCAGAAAAAGACCTATTTCTGCCTACTTTCTGCTTTCTGTTAACCAGCCAAAATTCTAGACACACTGATATACATGGCCCACTACATTATGAATTTTAATTTTCCACATTAACCTTTGAAATGACACTTTATTGATTACCTTCTGGAAAGCTAAGTACAGTACATCCACTTGTTTACCAGAAGGACTGGTATTCATTGTTCAAATGGTTATTGAACTGGCAAATTGAAATTTATTTTATTTTAATTTATCCCTTATAATGTTACTTCCTCAAAGAATTCCAAAAGTTTGGTTAAACACGATTCTTGCACAGAATCATGTTGATATTGCCTGATTAAGTTATCTAAGTGTCCTGCTATAACTTATTTAATAATAGCTGCTGCATTTTCCCTGTAATGGATGTTAAGCTAACTGGCTTGTAGTTTCCTGATTTTATTTTTTTTTTATCTCACTCCCTTTTTGAATAAAGTAATTATGTTCACACTCTTCCAATCTATGGCACCATTCCTGAATCAAGGGAATTTTGGAAAAGTTAAACATATGCATCAACTATCTCACTAGCCACTTCATTTTTAAGACTCTCGGATGAAATCTGTCAGGACTGGCCTGCAGCTCCAGTAACTTAGTACCATTTCCCTGCTGCCTTTGGGACGTTACTTGTTTCTTCTGTGGTAAGGACTGACGCAAAATACCTGCTCAATTCATCTGTCATCTTTTTATTCTCCATTATCATTTCTCCAGACTCGTGTTCTCACATGGCTAATGCTTACTTGGATAATACTTTAAAAAATATATATTTATAAACACTTTTGCTATCTTCTCTTATTTTTGGCTGCCATTGTCATACTCTAATTTTTCTTACTGTTTTTTGTTATTCTCTGCTTTCTTTATGTTCAGTGCAATGACCTGATATATCCACTGTCTTTGCACAATTATGTACTTTTTCTTTTCTTTATGTTTTATACTATCTTTAACCTTTTCAATTAACCACGAATGGTGAGATTGTTGCTTGAAGTTTTTCTTATTCTTTAGAATGTACTTCTTCTGTATATCCCTTTAAATGTCTGCTACTACATCTCTATTAACCTATCCTTATTAAGTGTATCTTTTAGGACACTCAACAAGTCACTAATTTACTCTCAGATTTGTACTCTCTAGCCATTCCTGTCATGGTGTATTTATAATTTCCAGGTTAATATCTCTTTCTTTTGCCTGTTCATTCTTTCATATTATAAAGCAAATTCTGTTTATCTTAAACATATTGATTGGATTTGGTTATTAATAATATAGAGAACATCTTAATATTTACTCCTCAAATCTAATGCATTGTTGAATTCATCTCACAGAAGCATGTGATTGTGAAAATAAAAATATTATACTGAATGCTTTTTAAAAAGTAATAATTTCAAAATCTCAAGTGTCCTCGAAATTGGTAATGGAACTGGTTAGTTGGTTTCATTGTTCATTGTAAATTCTGCATTTTCCAGTTAAGTATAGATGTTTTCATGTCAATATCAATTTGTAAAGTGACCATGGTGTAATATTTGATTTAAATATTCATATTTTAACAATATAAATATGGTAAATAAGAGTACAAATTTATTGTTTCATTATATGTACTTGTATGTATGGGTGCTACATTTGCTCAAATCAAATCCACTTATATCCTATCAAAGATTTGTTTGTTGAATTTGAGTGAGAATTTAATTAAAAGTTGATGTGACACTCCCTGACACTAACTGTTGAGATTTAGCCTCATGTGAGACATGGGTATTTGTACAAGAAAATGGAAAGTTGCCACATCCATGTAATTTGCAATGAGAAATTATTTTTTAGAAGTTATTTTTCAAAAAGAGCTTCTAATTTTGGAATTGAAAATTTTGACTTGTCTCTGTGATTAAATATACCAGTGGGTTTGAGATAGGTATAATAACTGAGGTCAAGCATAATAATGGGGCGGGGGGGAAGAGGATCCAGTTATTTAGTTCCATGTAGGCACCAATGACATCGGTAGAACAGGGAAAGAGGTTCTGCACAGCCAGTATGAGGATCTAGGCATCAAATTAAGAACCTCAAAGGTAATAATCTCCATTGTTATCTCAGTTGCATGCACATTGGCAAACAAGGGTAAACAAGGTTAGAAAGATGAATGCATGGTTGGAAAACTGGTATGGGAGAAGTGAGTTCTGGTTCATTGAGCACTGGCATCATTATTTGGGAAAGTGGAATCTATACCTTTGGGATTGGTGTTCTTGTGAACTGCGTAATTGGTGAAGTAGAGCAAGTTTTAAACTGTATCTGTATATTCAGACAAAGGAGGCCATCAGTTTAACTGGCACAAAGTAACCATAGTAGCCCAAGCCAAACATAGACACGCACGGGAACTCCTAGAGCATGGTTCTCTACCTGTACTTCAATCAACAAACATATAGAATTGGACCCCATATGTAAACCCATACAGATCAAAACTGGAAAAACAGTACTCACCATAATGGATCGGACAGTATAAATTCTAAGCGGAGTAGAATAACATCGCTTCATCAGAGGCTCCAATGATGATGTCACCTAGCATGGTGACGAAACGTCTGAACAAAAACAAAGCAGCTCGGCAAGCAAGTCAAAAACCTCAGGTTTTTAACTAAATATGGGGTCAAGGGTCCAAATTTGGGAAGTTGCAATGATTCAAAGACAGGAGAAAAGGTAACAGAGGAAGAAATTATTGTGGGAATTCATAAACAGATGATAGGAAGATAGAAGAGAATATAGACCGAAGAATGAATCAGATAAGACTAGAGGTTACAAATAACAAAAGGTCAAAAGTTGAGGAACAGTATTTGAATTCACATAGCATTCTAAACAAAACAGATTAACTACTAGTGCAAAATGAGGTAAAGTAGTACTGCCTGTTGGCTGTGACTAAGATATGGTTGCTGGATGACCAAGATTGGGACCTGAATATTGAAAGGAACATGACATTTAGGAAGGACAGGAAGCTAGGAAAAGATAGAGTGAATTAATTTAAAAATCTAGTAGCACAATAGAGAGGGAAGACCTAAATTCAGGAAACTAGGACATGGAAGCAGTCAGGGTAGAGATGAGGAATGATAAAGGCAAGAGGTTAGTTGTGTGAGTTATGTACATGGTCCCCTATCAGTAACCTCATAGTAGGACAGGCTATCAAGGAAGAAATGGAACCTTTTTGAAAGGGCTCAGCAATTATCACAGGGCTTTTAACCTACATTTAGATTGGAAAAAAATAAGATGGGGAAAAGTAGTCTAGATGAAGAATTCATTGAATATTTTCAGGACAATTTCTTAGACCAGTACATTTTGGCACCAGTCAGAGAATTGGCTGAGCTAGGCCCAGTCTTGGCCAATGAGATAGGATTAATTACTGACCTCATAATGAAAGTGCCCCATGGAGGTGGCGGCACCCACAAGATTATTGAATTTTATATATATTTTAAGGGAGAATTGTGGACCCAAGACTTCTATTTTGAATTTAAACAAAGGCAATTATAAGGTCAAGAAAGCAGAACTTTCAAACATGAACTGGCAATCAGGAATGGGTGAATAGAAATGCCGTTGCAAACATTTAAGGAGGTATTCCAAAAAGCACAGACTAAATACATTGCAACAAATAAGACAAATTCTAAGGTGTGGACTTGCCATCCATGTTTAGCAGGAAAAGGCAACAATAGTATCAAACTCAAAGAAAAGATATAAAATTGTGCAAAGATGGGTGGCAGGTCAGAAGTTTGGACTGAATATTAAAAGCAGCAAAGAATTGCTAAAAGAATAATAAGGAGGGACACATTAGAGTATGAGAAATAGGTAGCCAAAATATATGTAACACATAGGAAAAATTTCTTTGGATATTTTAAAAAAAAGGTTAACCAAGTAAGTCAAACTGGGGAATTGGAAATGTAGGATAAAGAGATGGCAGACAAATTGAACAGATATTTTGTAGGATATGCAGGAGATAGAGTTGAGGTTGAAATCAAATCAGCCATGATCCCATCGAATGGCAGAGCAGGCTTGAAGGGTTGAATGGCCACTCTTGTGCCTTTTTGTATGGCATCACTAGCTAGCAGTTATTAAGATTTGTTGTGTTGTTTGATGTCCCTGAACAAGTCTGTAGAGAGAGAATTATTTCTAATAGTAACTATCCAAATTGAAACCGTATGCAATAATTGATTTCAGAATTATTGTTTGTCTACTATTTCTGAAATTTGAATTGTATAACATATTTTTTCCAGAGGATTTCCCCAATGGAACCTGGCTTGGAGATGAGAATAACCCTGAGATGCGGGTTAGGTGTCCCATCACTCCTGCTGATATGCTACATATTGCCACAAATTGCAGAACAGCTGAAAAAATGGCATTGACACTATTGGACTACCTATTCCATCGTGAGATTCAAGCTGTATCCAATCTCTCAGGGCAGGGAAAACATGGCAAAAAGCAGCTGGATCCTTTAATGATCTACGGAATTCGATGTAAGCACCATGATATTTGTTTGAGTATCTAAACCACTGTTTCTCCAATTCTGTCCTCAGTGTTGTTATAGTTACATCTTTTAACTCTCCTGCAAAGAGAACAATTAAGTGGGCTATAGATTGTTTTAATTTTTTATATTAATTTCAACCTGTCAATTTCTTAGTCGGACTAATATTACCATAATGTGAGACATCACGTTTATTTCTCTGTTGACCACACTGCTCATCGACCTCTCTGTAGTCGTGTGGATAGATTGTTTGTTTGCTTATATCAACACAACTTAAATGTACAGTTAACTTTTGTGAGGGAAATTCACTGTGAAAAGTACACTGCAGGACATTATAGATATATATTTATATATATATATAAATGCATACGAAAACATAGATTAGATGCATGAGTCAATTTCTCCTTGTCTGGTCTGAGAATTAAGATTGCATGTTAGCTGCTCCTGCTGAATTTCCATGTCAATGATTGTCCAGTTATCAGCACATTCTTCTCAAGCTGTATAAAATGGTGTCTCTTTCTTTCAAGGTGTAGAGCTGGATGAACACAGCAGGCCAAGCAGCATCAGAGGAGCAGGAAGGCTGACGTTTCGGGCCTAGACCCTTCTTCCCTGCTGTGTTCATCCAGCTCTACACCTTGTTATCTCAGATTGTCCAGCATCTGCAGTTCCTACTACCCTCTCTTTCTTTCAAGTCTGTTTCTTGTGTCCTAGTTCTGATGAGCACAAGATGAAACTGCTTGTTTCTTATTATAAAGTTTAAATGAGCAAATTTGAAGAAAAGCTTTGTGAAATACAAAGAAAGAAAGTATTTTGGATTGAATAATTTCAGAAAATTTAGGCCAATTTGTAGCTTATTTAAACATTGGTCTTTGATTCTTATCAATTTCCATATCGCGGCCTTTTAATATCCATTAATTTGCTATGGAATTGGATTCAGTAATGTTGCATGAACTCAGATTCTGCCTGCCCTTTCAGGTGGTTGTTAAGGATCCAGTGACATAATTAAGCAAACAACTGGGGAGTTCTCCTGTTATTTCTGGCCAATATATCTTGCTTTAACAACAAGAAAATTGTTTACTTAGTCAATTATCCATTGCTGTTTGTGGGAACCTCACGTGCACATGTTGTTTACCTTGTTTTCTACATTGTAACAGTGACTACACTTCAAAGATACTTCACTGGCTGCAAAGTTGTTTGGAATAGATCATAAAAGTGGACATCTATATAAATGGAAGTCATTCTAGTTCAAATGTGGAAAGGATCTAGGCATCAGTAGTCATCAGAGTTGACCAAGACATGAATATATGTATTAGACTGAACTTTCTGACCTCCAGTGACAGGCATCTTGTTAGTTACTGGGATTGCATGCCCACCAATTCCACTGGAAAGAAGGTATGGTTCAAAGGACAGAAGATATCAGCAGTGATCTGGTGTGAGAGTCTGGGCCAAACAAGCTTGGAAATGTTGAGAGGTCTGACCCTTAGCAGGTAGACCTTGTGTCAGAAGTCTTGCCCCTTTCCAGCTGGACCTGGTCCGTAGCATCTGTTCTGCGAAGAGACATGCAGTTGAGGAGAAAGCAGTGGGTGCTTCTGGATCTGTTGTGTGATGTCAGCTTTTGCCTCTCAACAGAAGTGTCAAGCAGTACAAGCACTCTCTGACAGAAGTAGTGCTAAGAACAGCAGCCTGTCATTGGCCATGGCTGGATCTCTTCACTGTCACTGATCAAATTGTGTTGCTTTAGAGCGACCCTCTTATGAGTAGAGGTTGTGTAGATTGGATTTGTATTCATTAGAGTTTAGAAGAATGAGAGGAGGCTTTATTGAAACATAGAGGGCTTGACAGGTTTAGATACAGAGATGTTAATTCCCCTGTCAGAGTACCTAGGACCAGAGGGTACAATCTCAGACTAAGGATTCACCCATTTAATTCCGAGATGAGGAATTTCCTGAGTGTCGTTAATCTGTGGATTTTTTTAAACCAGAGGGCTGTCTAAACTGGATCATTAAGTATATTCAAGGGTGAGATAGACTTTTTTTTTAAATCAGTAAGGGATCAAGGGTTCTAGGCATAAGGCAGTAGAGATAAGGCATATTAGATCAGCCGTGAACTCATTGAATGGTGGAACAGACTCGATGGGCTGAATGGCCCATTTCTGCTCCTAAATTTTATGATCGTGTAGTCACCCTTTATCAATTACTGATCAACAGATCCATGGGTTCTCATTGTTTACTTTCAGTCCCACCTGGAGGAAAGTCAGAAGAGGACAGGATGACTTTGGAATCACAATCTGCCAGTTCCCGGGATCACCATTTTTTCCCTAACTAGTCTCTGTTAAGCTGGGAAAAAATGGTCATTACTTCCACAATTGTTGGCACTGTCACAGATTCAGTGATGTTCTATCTATTGTGTCAATACAACATCAAATTATGGGGCTGAATTTGCTATGAGTGGTGAATGAAAATCAACAGTTGATGATTAGACTTGCCCAAAGATTTTCCATGAGGCTTTCATGGACCATCCAAATATTATGACGTCTTCAGGCCAACAGGGCAAGAAATGGTGCATCTCCTAAACTTTTTTAACTTGAGAATTGGTAATAAGCACACCAAAAAAATGAGCAGTGTAAACCATGAAGCAAAAGTGCAACCAAGTTCTGAAAGGGAAAGAAAGATTAGATCAAGAGCAATTAAACAAATAATGACAAATTTTAAAATTTAATTTGTTTCAAATTTTAGCATTAATTTAAAATCTAAATGAATAACACCTCACATTGGTTCAAGTTAATTTTCTGTGCCAATTTTCTTTTACAGGAATTAACATTTTTCAACCATCAAAAGGATATTTAGACTAGAGTTATTTGACTTGACATATTTTGTGGCAAGCTTAGCCTGAATCTATTACTTGAGTAGCATGAAGTTCTTGTACTAATGACAGTTGAATAGAAAACAAGATGATGTTTGAATAGGAAGTCAGATGACAATTTATCAGTTTTGGACAACTTATGAGGCACCTTTTAATAAGTTTCTAGATTAGCTGTCAAACTTGCACAAAATTAATGGTGTGTTTAATTGCAAACTATTTCATGGTATGTGGTCAATTTGAATTATTGACAGTTATTTTTAAATTGAAAAGTAACAGATGCATTATAAGTAATTGTTAGTCATCAGTTTAGAATTAAGATTACCGTGAATAGATCTGTGACAATAAGCATTTCAACATTAGACCAGAACACGCAGTATTTAAAAGAAAACTATTTTGTGATGAACTATGTTACTAAAATTATTTCCATTAGTTTCCCAATTTCATATTGGCATAAAAGCAAGCAGTTTCAAAGTAATTGTTTCAGCAAACTGAGAGTTCAAATTTGGTGCTTTTCGTACTTGTAGGTCACCTTTTCCATAAATTTGGAATCACTGAATCAGACTGGTACAGAATAAAACAGAGCATAGATTCTAAATGTCGAACAGCTTGGCACAGAAAGCAGCGTGGACAAAGCTTGGCAGTAAAAGGTTTTGCCCGAAGGACACCCTCGTCTTCAGTCATGAGTGGAACAGGTACAAAACCAGATGATGTATACGTTGCCAAAGAAAGATATTTCTAACATCTCAGTTATTTGTTTGTTTTTGAACTTTGAAGGCATGCATATAATATCATTTAATCTAATAAAGCAATCATACCTATTTTACTTATATTTTATAGTTTAACGTAATCATCCATTTTGCTGTCTAGAAAAGTATTCAAGGGGTAAGATCCCTTGGATATTGCTTTGCTGACTTAGCAATATATAAATCGAGGTAGTACTTTTCAATTTGAAATTAAAATGATGGAGCTGAATACATCATTGCCACCTTAGTTAGTCTCTGCTTTTTTATTCCTTTAAATTGCTTCATTTTGGCTTCTACTCAGTCCATAGCATTAAGTCTATGACTTAGTCAAAACCAGCAACAAGCTCAGCATTCCTCTTTGTTCTCTTTGTATTTAAACATGGTCATCCACTGTGCTCTTCTTTGTTATTGCATCCCAAGTCTATCTCCCGTGGATCTTTCCTCAAGTGATTGTTTCCCAGCTGTCGTAACAGATATCCAGCAATGGCTTTATCTTCTTCTGTCCTAGAATATCAGTTCTGGAGCGTATAAAGCTTTGATCTTTCCTCCAACCCACCCCCTACTCCCTTTCATCATTTATCAGTCAATTGACAACATTTCCTTTTCCATGTTTAACATTCTTGACTTTGAACCATCTCTTGGTGAAAGATATTTTGTCTGATTGGGAGGGAGTCATAATTTTGTCTGCTTGAACTTTAGGAAGACTATAGCTATTGAATTTGGCTGTTGCCAGAAAGTTCATACGTTGTCTCCTATTCTGTCCCAACTATACATGTTCAGGCCGAAAGAGGTCCTTGTTCTGTCCAGCACTGAGCTACTAAAATCGATGTTGATCTGAACCATCAACACTACAGAAGTTCGTGTTTGACTCACTTTCTAGTACCATGGTCAGTCAGTTAAAGGGTAATTGATTTAGTTCCACATGAGAGACCTAAGCCCATAATTTACTTCACAAAATAATTGACTATGTAGAAATATAATCAAGGCATAATATAGTTCTTGTAGACCTTTATTAATGAACCTTTATGTACTTTTACCGAACTGGTGAAATGAAACTTTTACTTCCTTTTAAGCTGTAGAGTTGCTGTCCATAGGAATAGAAGTGAATGCCTTTGTTAAACACTTCTTGTTGGTCTGTTTTCAAGCACTTTTTCTTTTACAAAGCTTAAATTTTAAGATCTGTTTTCTGTCACAGTATTTGGAAAATGGCTTAGATACTGGTGATCTAAGAATATTTTTAACCAGCCAAACAGTATTATTTCCAGACATAATTTATGTGCTTTTTGTAAATAATGTTTACCAGGCCCGGCCTTTGTGATTTTTACTAATTCCAATCTTATTTTGCTTTGTGTTAATGCAGAGATATAAATTAGGGAAAAAATCCTGAGTATCACTCAGAAGACAAGCAAAGTGACACAAGCTGATCTTATTCAGAGTTAAATAACCAAAAATGTTTTGTTAATTGATTATTCTATTACACCTACTGAGTGAAATTAAACATTTTGACTTTAAGGAAAGAATTGATGTAATAACAATTACATGAGGCTTAGTTGACATTGGATATGCAGAATCTTTGGTTATACTGTTGCTGTAATGCTATGTCAGTTGATACATTTAGTGTCTTGGAGCTGGTTAGCATAATGTAGTTGTGGCGTGGGGAATTAGGGCAACATTTTACATTTTTGAGTGATGAAGGAAAAAAGTTAATGATGCATGTAACAAGGATTAAACGTGGAAAATATTAAAGCAAGGACTTAAAGCATTGGAGCAAGTGTGGTGTGGTGCAGAATTTTTGGAGTCTGTTTCTTTTGCAAATTATTTCCTGCTAACCATTGGTAGACAGTCTGAGGGGGTTGTAGAATCTAATAGAAAATATTATGTAATCCACTACTGTAATTAAGGCAAGGAGGAATTTTGCATTGTTCTCAATAATTTATCCATGGATGCTTATCAACTGAAACTTAAATTGTTGTGACAGATTTCAAACAGATTTCCTAAGTATTTCTTTGGAGCAAGCATTGAATTCATTAAAATATATTATTAGCTGAAACATCTGTCTGTGTATTTAACTAATTTTGAAGTCTGGTCAACTCTGTAGTTTAACTGACTTTGGAATAATATTTCCATTGTCTGTTGTCCCATTTGCAGCTCTTATCATCGTGTTCAGATTTTTTTTTTCTCTCTTCTTTTTTCCATTGTAATTCTTAACAAGCCAACAGTAAATTTTTCAATAGTCGTTGAATAAACCTTAGATCTTTCTTCTTTGTCCTTGCGTCTTCCCATTGGAATCATCAGGAAACAAAGAAGCAGAGGCACTGGACAGATCGACGTTAAGAGCCAAATACACTTGCTATTGTAATAGAAAGCTAGCTAATTAGTTCAATAGCATTTGATTCCTTCTCTTCAATGAATTGCAAGATATTTTCAGAAGGTCACTTCATTGAAAAACTGAAATGACATTGGTCCAGTTTTTCCTAACATCCACTTCAAATTTCAAGATTAAAAAGTAGCAATTGTTCCTGAAATTTACTGTTGAGTTTTTGAGATCAAAGTAAGAAATCAGAGGTAAAAATATTGAACTAGGGTTGGTAAATCCTAAATAGGGTGTTCTGCAAAGAAGTTACCCAATTATTTTTTGTTCTTTAGATTCTAACAGACCTGTGTATTTTTCAGGCTTTTCCATTCTTCTTCAGATTTCCCTTTTTTGTCATCCTTTTTGGAATTGATACAATGAAAAGCAGGAAAAGTTTGCAGTACCTCATAAAATCATGAGGGGTGTAGATATGGTGAATCGCAGGTGTTTTTCCCTAGGGTGAGGGAGTTTCAAGACTAAAGAGCACATTTTTAAGGTGAGAGGAGAATTTTTTTTTAGATGAGGGGCAAATTTTTGAGTGGCTTGTGTGTGGAATGAACTTCCAGAAGAAGTGGTTGATGTGGGTACAGTTATGATGTTTAAGAGACATTTAGATAAGTACATGACTATGACATATTTAGAGGGGTATGGGCCAAGTGCAGGCAGTTGGGATGAGTTTAGTTTGGGATTATGGTTAGCGTGGACTGGTTGGACTAAAGGAACTGTTTCCATGCTATATGACTCTGACTAGGTCAGGCAACACGTTATCACAAGTTAGCAACATTATATGTTTCATACTTACAATATTTGTAATGTTTTGCTTATGTATTATAATGATGACGTTTACATGATTGTTCTGTTTTAGGACTGTATCTTTTGATATGTAAGAGGCTTATAGTTTGACATTGCATCTTTGAAATTAGGATAGATGTGAGGTTTCATATGATCTGTGCCGTAGTCTACTTAAGTGTAAAAACCGGGTGCTTATTAGTAAAAATCAAAGGGAAGATTCGAATTGCCTTACTGGAAGTGAGCTGACTGATATTTACATTTGATGATAATCATATTGTTGCTATAACATTAATCAAAACACTCTGTCTTGTGAAATCAGTAAAGATGTTACTGGTAAAAGGATTGTAAGTAGTTGTGCAGAAACTAGCCCATTTATTTCTAAGATGAAAACTTTTGCATCAGAGAGAGTGAATTAATATTTCTGCTTGGGTAATGGGGCTTAGGTATTTCTTTTTCTCATGGAAAATGAGTCAGGGGAACCTGGTTCAATGAAGAGTGCATAAGGGCCTGAAGCTGTGCCTGCGCCAGACCTCAGTCTATCAGGTCTAAACACAAGACTGAAGTATTTGCATCCATCTTCAGCCAAAATGGCTGATCCATCTCTGCCTCCACCTGCTGTCCCAACTTGATTAATTGTAGAAATTGTACTGAAGACTTGTATTCTAGAATTAGCCTCACTACTTGTCAAGCTGTTCCAGTACATCTGGGATCTCCCTAACTGTGGAAAATGGCTAGTTGTGTCTTGTGTATAAATCCAACCTGGCCAATTATTAACCTGATACTCTACATTTGATCATCAACAAACTGATGAAAGGAGTAATCAACAGTGCTATCAAGCGGCTCTTGGAGCAGAATAACCTGCTCACTGATTCTCGGTTTGGCTCCAACCTGGACTACCCTGCTGCTGTACTTATCGAAGCTGTTACCAAAATATTGATAAAAGAGCTGAACTTCAGAGGCAGGTCTTCCCTTGGCATCAACACAGCATTTGACCGATTATGGCATCAAGGAGCCTTGGCAAAACGAGTTGAAAAAAGTGGGTGGGTTGGGAGGGGAAGGGAGGGAGGGAATGATCTGCTGTCTGGGGTCATACCTAGCATAAAAGAAGCTGTTTGTGATTGTTGAGGCCAATTATTTTAGCCCAGGAACATCTCCACAGGAATTTTTCAGGAAATTGTAGAAATAGTACTGAAGACTTGTACTGTAGAACTAGCCTCACTCTTTGTCAAACAACCAACTAACCACCATTAGATGCTTTTTCAGTGACTGTCCCTTCATCATAGGATCAGACAGAACCTTCCAAACCCATGACCTCTACCACCTAGAAGGCTATAGGGCAGTAGATGCATGGGAACATCACCACCTACAAGATTCCTTTCAAGCTAACACCATCCTGACTTGGAACAATGCTGATGTTCCTTCACTGCCACTGGGCCAAAGTGCTAAAACTCCCTTTCTAGCAGCACTGTTGGTATTTCTACACCCCAAGAACTGTAGCAGTTCAAGAAGGCAACTCACCACCACCTTCTCTAGAGCAGTTGAGGACTGCAATAAATGCTGACCTAGTGAATGATGTCCACAGCCTAAGAGCATAAAAGATTGTAAAATTCAGTAGTTAAGTCACTCAATTCCAATAATCATGCACCATCTTCAGAAATGAAGACTGATATTAAGTACTCATTCAATATTTCCACTATGCTGGATGACTCCTTCGTAGCTATTTTTTAATGGCTCAGTGCAATAGTTGACGGCTCAATGCAATAGTTGACAATTCTCGAATCTCTAAATAACTGAAAAGCTTGTC